GCAGGAGAATCACATGAACCAGGGAGGCAGAGGTTGCAGTGAATCGAGATCGTGCCACTGTATTTTAGCCTGGATGACAAAGTGAGACTCTGCCTCAAAAAATGAAAAATAAAAATAAAAAAACGTAACTTGGTCTAAGGGATGTGAACATTTCACAACCAGTCCCAAAGTTTGATGACTACCACTGATGAAGCACGTTTCTCCTTATTCTCATACCAATCATTTGAGCTCACATTTAAGATAATTTCCTCGAACCACTCGCTAAACTTGCAGATGCAACAGGAGTCAGCCTCCTCCCCATGAGAATCCTTTATATGCCTGAAAGTAGCAATCACACCAACCTCTGCCTTCCAGGATGCTTCCTGCTCCCAAACCTGCACTTTTTAGGGGCCCCACAGAGCTTATGATGTGCCCTGGTGGGGAGAGTTGCTGAAGAGGCAAGTGGCTCTTGCCACAAGAAAAATGAATCATGAGCACAAGTCAATACAAGAATCCTGCAGTTCAGACAATTACCCAAAGAACACATTTTCTGATAATTACAGAGTTAAAAATGGATCCACTTTGAAAATCCCTTCCTTTCTCCCAAGAAAGCTGAGGAGGTGGTTTAACAACAATCAGCTGCTGAGATGCATCACATTCTAGGGTGTTTAGGAGGCTAGTTCCAAGAAATTCTTGGAAGGTGCAGTTCCCAGAAGGTGGTGCTGCTAACTAGACCCATTAACCCTCCCCGCCATCCCCAACACATGCTCACAGCTTGGGAATCAGAACTCAGAAGCCCATTCGAAATGAGAGAGACAGGAGGGAGGAGACCTAGGCCGGCCCACCTTGTGATGCTGCTCAAACACCAAATGGCACTTACCTAAGAAAACGGGAGGGGATGCTAAGCGGGGGTGCAATCAGCCAAGGATTATCTCGGCTGGCCAAGTGTGTGCTTAGTGATGTTATAAAGGGTTTTAGGTAGAATCTAAGGGTCAGGATGATAATAATAACATTTAATATGCATTGTACACTTATGAGCCAGATGTACCATATTATCTTATTTAATTCTCACACACCTGTATGAGCACGGTCCTGTTATTTTCACCCCTAGTTTACAGTCACACTGAGGCACACACTGTGAGTTACAAGGATAATAAGGAGAGAGGCAGGATTTGGAAGCAGTAGAAGTTTGCGCACTTCACCAAAACCTTCCAAATATAAAGGTCCCAGAACTGGCTGAGAGCAGATATTAGGATGGTTGAAATACAGACTACAAGGGGGCAGAGGGTATAAGCATTATGGAAGAAAATCAGACAGAAGACACTGTAGGTCAGAGATCTTCTGTGTCAATAATGAATGTAATATTGAGTTAATTTCCATTTTTAAATACAAATCTTTTTTTTTTTTTTTTTTTTTTTTAGAGTTTTTTTCTTTTTTTTTTCAGGCTGGAGTGCAATGGCGCGATCTCGGCTCGCTGCAACCTCCACCTCCCGGGTTCAAGTAATTCTCCTGCCTTAGCCTCCCGAGTAGCTGGGATTACAGGCGCCCACCACCATGCCCGGCTAATTTGTGGAGGTTTCACCATGTTGGCCAGGCTGGTCACTGACCTCAGGTGATCTGCCCACGTCGGCCTCCCAAAGTGCTGGGATTACAGGTGTGAGCTGCCGTGCCTGGCCTATGAATCTTATATAAGGAATAAATGTAGTAAAATATGTAAATTTTGTACTATGTCATGGACAGTACTGAAATGAAGAAATGGAAAGATTATTGACTAAGCCAGTGTTTCCAAGAAGAAGGATTTAGATGACAGAAGTGCCAGAAAGTTGGCACTCATTCATTCACTTACTTAGTCAATACTCGCTAAGCACCTTCAATGGGCTGTGCGTGGCTCTACATTCTATGTCACAACCTATGATGGTGAATGAAACAAAATTGCTGACCAGCCAGAACTGGCGTTGCAGTGAGAGAAGACAGACCTGCATGCCCAGGACCTAAATGCCTTTGGGAGAATAGTGTTACCAACTTAAGCTGAATAACACATGAGCTACAGCCAGGCCTCAAGGGCCAGACAGACAGAAGCACCTATAATTTGAAATTACATTCAGAAAGAAATTATGTTGAAATGATCCTCATTAAATTAATAAAACAAAATTGCTCGACTTTTAACAAAAGCATAAGCTTTAAACAGAAGCATAACTAAGCATTAACCAGCTTGCCCTTGCAGCCCACCTCCTTATAGCTGCATACTGCTTGAAAGTCCCATCGCCTCTGTCACGAGGTCCTAACATCTATACATAACATCTTTAACATTAAAAACCTCAAAAACCTCAAGTTTCCCATTTGAGATATTTTCTAGATCCTGATTCCATCAGGCCCACTGACACCAGCCATCTGTGGACTCCGTCCAAGGAACTGACTTAGGACAAGAATGAAGTTTCTACTTCCTTATGATTTCATCTCCCATGCCCTAATCAATCAGCAACCCCCTGTTCTTCAGCCCACTACCCACCAAAATTCCCTCTAAAATTCTAGCCCAAAACTTCTGGAGGAGGGGGATTTGAGACTCCCTCATGCCTCATTTGGCTGCCATACAATTATTAAGCTCTTTGTCTGCTGCAACTCCCATCGTCTCAGTGTATTGGTCTGTTACTGTGCAAGGGTGCAAAGCTGGTGGTCCTGGTATGAAGCTGTGGTCCTGCAACAATGATGACATCACTGAAAACAACCTCAGGTATCCAGGGCACACAGAAGAACTAACAACCAGTTGTTAAAAGTAGATGTGCTTAGGGCAAGAGGACTGGAGGAGGAGGGAGATTCCACAAAGAAAGAAAGCAAGCAAGCTGGGCTGGGCATGGTGGCTCATCCCTGTAATTCCGTCATTTCGAGAGGCCAAGATGAGAGGATCACTTGAAGCCAGGAGTTTGAGACCAGCCTGGACAACAAAGGAAGAACCAATCTCTACAAAAAATAAAAAAGTCGGCCAGGTATAGTGGTACATGCCTGCAGTTCCAGCTACTCAGGAGGCCGAGGTGGGAAAGTCACTTGAGCCCAGGAATTCAAGGCTGCAGTGAGTTATGATTGCACCCCTGCACTCCAGCCTGGGTGGCAGAGCAAGACCCTGTCTCAAATAAATAAATAAAGTTGTAGGTACATGGCTTATTTCTGCGTTGAGTTAGTGCAGAGGTGCTGGCCACTCCGGTGCCACTCCCCGTGGGAGCAAGAAAACTGTCAGGCTGCAGAAGGTGTGATGACGCAGTCACAACACCTAAAGTCTTGAAGTCACTATCTCATGTCCTCTGATGTCTACCTTTTCTCCCTAGTATTTTCCATGACCATGAACAACAACTGCACTTGACCTCCCAGAAGCTGCAGCAGAGGCAGAGGCATGGGAGAAAGGAGCATGTACAAATGAAAGGGGCAAAAGGCAGGAAAAGGTAGAGTACAGAGTTTCTTGGAGTAAAATGCCTCAGTTTATTGTTTAAAGAAACTTATGCAAGCAATATGCAAATTTGCAAAAAGTAACACTAATTCTTGCATAGTGTGCAAGAATTACTTTCATACCCTTGGCTCTGACCTTTAAAAGGTCCAGGGCTGCAAGTCTGTGGGCCACAGGACCTTGGCCATTGCCTGCTACCTGGCCGGAGTCAGTGGTCAAGCAGTATAAAAGAATAAGCAAGGCTAAAAGGTGATGGATATGGAACATTGTTCTGTCAGAGAATACGGATAATATATTCAGGATGGGAGAGAAAGGGGCAACTTGGAGTCTGAAAGGCAAAACTTTGATTTTGTCTTGATCCATTCTATGTTACTTAGCTGTCAAGTCTTAAAGAACAAACCAGAGACTATAGAAGTACCGGCTGGAGCAGGTTATGGGTATCCAAGATATTATCTGGAAAAATAATTTATAAATTTATGAATTCATATTGTTATTTTCCTAATCATTCTTTATTCCTTGGATCACAAATATTTTCATATATAGGTTTTATCCAAGCACATTTCCCTGCTGTATCATACAAGATATGGGATTCTGATGTACTGACTCTCTTAGAAGATACTAAAGGACAAGTAATTAGCTAGAAAAATAATTGGCTGCTGCTTTAAGCTCTCTCTCAATGAAAGGTATCATTACTAAAATACAGAAAAAAAACTTTAAAACCTTGCAAAGTATTTTCCCCTTCTATCAACGTTGGCATAACATTTTATTTCTGTCCTATTCATATAAGGCTCAAAAACTCCTTTTGGGCTGACAGGTGGCTTTCTTATGGCCTGTAGTTCATCCACTCTGTACAGAGAGGTTAGAGATGTCCTTTGGTTATTTTACCGGTAAGTTGCCGTTCTCCACATTTTGCTGCAAAAAGCACACACTTGCCTGGGAAAGAGACACAGGGGCCCCCAGCTATGGCACAGAGCTATGCTAAATACCAAGCTTGAACTGTGTGTGCCCACATGCGCTTCCTGAATGAGTCTGGGGAAGCTGTAATGTACTACCCATCCATTCAGAGCAACTCTCTGAACGACGTGACTCTGCCTTTAATAACACCCCCTCATCCCACCCATTCAGCATTCCCAGTGATGCTGACAATCAAATTGCAAAGTTGAGTGACAGGCTACAACCTCAAAGGAAACCCAGCATCTAGTTAAAAACTTCCCAAGGTCGGCAGGGAGTGTTCCTGAGACCAGCCCCAGACAGGAACAAAGGCTCTGTGGTAATAGCAGCTGGAAATGCCATCCATCATCATGCAAAGATAAAGAGCTTCCAACTCCAATCAGAGGGCACTCGCAAATATCCAGTGCTGTCCTGACACTTTGATTGATGGCCACCTCCTTTAATTAGCTCCTCTTGTCTCTGGAGGTTTCTAAAGAACTGATCACTTGCTCCCACCTCCCCCTTTCCCTGCCACCATTTGCCTTCCTGGTGGACAGGACTGGAGCAGGCACTCAGCCTCACCAGCCTCTTTCACTGTGTGCCTACCCACCACCATGTGATCCTCCATCCTCCAGCATGAAGCTGCCACACTGACCTTTCGCAGAAGGAAGCAGATGCGCTCGATGTTCCTCAGCCGTTCCCTCTATCAGGATGCACAAGAAAGAAATGAGAGGGGATGTTAAGGGTTCTGCTAAAACAGCATGAGAAGGCCCTACAATCAGCCCCAAAAGCGGAGGCAGAACCCATCAGAGAGCCCTCATGGGCACATGGCCAGCATTCTCCCACCCAATGGCTTTTTCTAAGAGTTTCTGACTTTCTTCCCTGTACCCTGTCATGGTCATTTGCTCTTAACAGAACTCTCCCAGCAAACAGCATGGGCTCACCTTCCCTCTCAGTCCAGCATGGATTTCTGTTCTTCTATCTACAAAGTCTCCCTCAGCCTCCATGTACACATAAGGTGGTCAAACTGCCGAATGGTACCTCGTGCTCATGGAACATCCTAAAGCCTGCAGCCGGCCCTCCCAGGATGCCTTCCCACTTGGGTCTCGAAGAGCGTATGTGCCCTCATTAGTATCTAAGGTAGACAAGTTCTCTGCCTGCTGGTTTCATTTTTCTAAAGTGAGTCTACTTGGCGGAAGCAATCTCCCTACTAAATTAAGACACCAGTGATGTCCCCAGGCTAAGGCTTTTTAAGAAGTTCGAGTCTATCAAGGCCTGGCTCACTGCCAAGGGAAGATGAGATGATGGCCTGTGGCTGGGCAGGTGATGATGCCCACTTCATGCACTAAATGCTATTGCCTCCCTTTTCCTTCAATGACTTTAACGATTTCCAAAGCCACACTGAACACAGCTGTGGCGTCTCCCGGTGCTTCATTACTGAGGCAATTTGGTTGCCATAGATGGAATGGTAATGAGATTCCTCGTGGATCTGGAAAGGACAGGTGGCTGGGACACTTTATTTCCCTAATTAAATCATAAATATAGTAAATATAGTGATTCCTGTGCATCCTTTAAGCCCAGAGGAAGGAGCCCACATCTGGACAAATTAGTGTCCACATGGCTAGAAAGACACACTGCATCCTCCTCACACATGTGCACATGCAAGCACACACACTTACGTGCACATACGCATGAAATGTAATGCTACAAGACACACACTAGCTCCTTTTCCAGCAAGCCAGAGCCACTGAAGGACGACATCTACCATTACTTTAAAGTAATGAATGCCCTGCTGGTAAAAGGAAGGGAAAACATGAGAAACGAGGAGTAAAACAGAGCATTCCTCCTCCTTTCCATCCCATAGGGCCCAACAATATTGGGAGCTTCAGGGCATCTTAAATCCAAATGGGCCTCACGCCCTCATTGAGAGACGCATCATACGGATCAGCAATTATCTGTGACACACAAGTCCTTCCAGGGCTGGAGTCACCAATCAGTGAAGTAGCTTTTTTAAGCCACCTGAGTCTGAAATGCTGCTTTGGGGGCTCTATAGAGGTCTAAGAGCTCACAGAAGAGTTAAAAGAGGCATCTGAAGCATTTAACTTCCTGCCAGGGAGTAACAGCATAAGAACTGGGAAAATGTGTCTAGCAGTCTTCCATTTAGGGTTTTTATTTGTTTTTGTTTTTGTTTTCAATCCAAGACAAGAGTTTTCCCGATGGGGCACCTAGAGTCTTTATTCTGTTCATGAACTTCATAGGGCCCAGGCTCTTTAATTACTCAGTTAACTAATTAGAAGTGTGCCTTTAATAATAGGAGTAAAAAAAGTGAATTGAGATTTAACTTCTATGCCACCACTTCAATATTCATCCACCGTTTAATCAACAAATAGCTATGGAGCACCTACTATGTGCAAACTCTATTCCTGCACTGGCCTTTCACAGAAGCTCCCTGGAGAGCATATACTAGTCCTGATTTTCTTTATTCTGTCTAAATTTCCTTATTCTTTGCCATGGTGAGATGGAAAGGGTTCCACAAAAATATTCTGTGGTTTCACCAATCACCTGCAACCCAGCATGGAATCTGCATGATGGAACTGAGCGGTAGGACAAATTCCTTCCCTAGCATTTGCCCTGGAATCAGACAAGAAAGCTTTGGGTGTTCTAAGTGAGCTGCTATTAATTTGAGCCCAAACAATTAGAAGGAAGGAAAGTAGGCTCTTGTCTTCCCTGGCATTCCTAAATGAAGGTCTCTCAGACTAGAGTCGCTCACTGCACCTGGTAGATACTGACAGACCAGGCATGTAATGTCGGTGCCAAACACAAAAACATCCAGAAAGACATGAGACCCAGAGTGAAACCTTTCAGGCCTGGCAGATCCAAATTATCCCAGATGCATGGTGAGGCTGGCAGATGGAAACAAAATGGATTTTAATAGTTATAAGTTCATGAAATACAGTAAGTTTTAAAGTGGATCTTGTAGGTTCTTTAAACTTGCATCAAAATTTGCTTTGAAAGAGTTTGGCTCTATTTCATGGAATCAAAAAATTTGACGCCAAAGCGGGCCTCAGATATTATAAAATCAGGTCTCTTAAAAGAGGCAACACAGGGTAGATGGTAGGATGGCAGACTTTGGAGACAGGTAAGCCTGGGTTCAAGTCCTAGCTCCAGCACTCATGACCTATAAATCCCTGTACAAAAGAGTCCATTTAGTGGTTTATAAATTGGGTTAATGATGTTTGTCTCGCAGCATTATTGTGAGGATTACAGATTATGTATATAAAGTTCCTAGCACAAAGTAAAAACTCAAAATACAACAACAAATCCAGTAATAACTCTCTACTTTATAGAGGGGGGCACTGAATACTGGTTCTTCCATATGGTATTGTGGTACCTCCCTAAAAGCATATCCTTCTTCATGGGGCCTGCAGCTAAGGATAAGAGACCTCTTTGTCCCTGCTGAATGACGCCATAAACATTCCAGGCTAAGATGGTATCATGCTAGCAGAGCCTGTTGTTCTCTCTACAACTTCTGGCTGAAAAGGTCAACAAAGCTACTCCAAGAGGCAAAAAGTTGCCTTCGTGCTGGAAACCATGGCCTGGAAGGAACTTCAACTAAACAGAGGACCAGTGAATTTGGATTGAGAAACACACTTGAATGAACTGTGTGTGCACCACCCTTTGAACTCAGAGGAGCAGGTCTGGAATAAGTTTGGAAAAGGCTCTGTCCACATACAGGGTTGGTCCCTGGCTCTGGGACATGGACTGCACTGACCAGGGAAACAAACAGCCAAAACACCCATTGCCACCCAGCATCCATGCAGAAGCTCCCAGTCAGAGGCACAGCCAGGGCACAGGGGAAGGGCAGCATGTAGGGCCTGCCAAGCCAGACAAGCAGGAAGACGCCAGGAGCCACGCATGCTGGAGCAGGCGGCCTTTCACATCTCGAACCCAGACCAGGACACTCAGATTGCACCAAATTCTCCAGGCAGAGGTGAGCTGACCTCAGACCCACAGAACCACCTGAGATGAATGCTTTCTGGGTGATGGATATGGTGCTAGGGACTTTGTGCATTAACCCACCCTCCACATCTCCACCTGAGAAATCTGGTGCCCAAGTGGAGAGTGCAGCACGGACATCCACTCACGGTGCTCACGTGCCTGCAAGCATGTTGGCCAACATGGAGCCTCTGTCCTTGTTTAAGGATGAGTAACCAAAACACATGAGCACCAGGCTTTGAGAACTCAAGGGCCACAGCACAGTAGACTATTCCCCTGGGTTACGGGGACAGTCACACCTGATTTGCAACATATCTCAAGACCTCAGCACACTTCAAGAATGAGAAGGCTCCTCCACAACCTTGAGCCAGGTAGAGACGCACAGTGAGGGCGAGCATGTTCTTTACACAAATCATTCACATTCTCACCCTCCTTCCTAGGCCCTGGGTAGCCTGGGGTGACAGCACCTTCCTCTCACCAGCACCCGCTACTTACCGCATGAACAGGGTTGCACTGGTCTATGGGGCTCTTAAAATCCGTCCTTAACTCATCAAAGGCAATTATCTGAAACAGAATACAGAGATTTGAGGTGTTAGTGCATACCTGAGTCAACACACCATGTCCAAAGCTTCTGTGGATTTGCATCCAAATAATATAAGATAAAGGAAGAGACTGTAGATGGCATGAGATTGGCCAGCACTTGGCCACTGTTGAAGCTGGCAATAAGCACATGGGGTTGCTTACATTCTTCTGTCTACTGTGTATGCTTAAAATTTTCCCCGGTAAGTTTTTTTTAAGTATTCTGTGCTTTATAAAGATGCAGAGAAAGTCTACTGTGCTGACGGCAGGTTGGGATTTAGAAAAAAGCACAAAAAATTTAAAACTTCAAACCACTACTTTTAGCTCCCTTCCTTCCAGGAAGGGGCTATTTATTTTTTATTTGTGTGTATTTGGGCAGAAAAGGTGATTGGAAGTGAAACAGACAGAAGTCAGGTGAGAGGCAAAAGAGAAAAACAAGGCAGTAGAGTTGACAGTAATAGAAATAACCAAATCTCTAGAAGTCCACAAGCCTGGATGGTTGGCTCCTGGGCAGTCAGCATTTCAAAATACAGTCCTTTGGACTCTGGTCCTACAGTTCATTTTGGATGAAGACTCAGAACTCCCCAGAGAACAACAGTTTCCCGATATGCCTGGAGGAAAGAATGCTGGAGAGGACCTCTCCAGTCACAGAATGAGGCATGGCCCCCCATGGAAGTACCTAACTGACAGGTGAAGGTTTGCAAGCCCACATCCTCACCACAGCTCCCTTGTCTGCTACAGAAGGAATAAATAATAGAACACGGTGGGATCTGGCCAGGGGAGTGTCCTTTCTTAGGGTGTGGAAGACTTGGGTGCCCCCAATAAAATCTCTCCTTTTGAAAATAAACAGACATGGTCGCCTGTAATCCCAGCACTTTCAGAGGCCGAGGCAGGCAGATCACCTGAAGTCAGGAATTTTAGACCAGCCTGGTCAACATGGTGAAACCCTGTCTCTACTAAAAATACAAAAATTAACTGGGTGTAGTGGCATACACCTGTAATCTCAGCTACTTGGGAAGCTGAGGCAGGAGGAAAAAAATAAAATAAACAGACATAACCAACTCCCCAGGAAGGCACATACCAGGGGTCCCTGAACACTTGGCAGAATTGCTGAAGCAAGGAAACCAGCTTCCCACCCCCATATGTCCCCAATCCAGCAACATGGGGCTGGGAGTAAGCACTAAGTAAGAGAAAATAACTTCCCTCTACAAAGCAAGTAGAATTTTAAAGCAGTCATATGTCATCCTGATTTCAATCCTCCTACAGAATTTGAAGAAAATTCCAGTATAACTTGTATTAAACCAACACATTTCTATATCATCCCTTGCCAGATAATTATCCAGCCTGTACTTAAACGCTTCAGGAACAAGAAACTCACCACTTACTGAGGATGCTCATTCCATTTCTGGCTACCTCTAATTAATCATTGCTTTTCTTATTAAACTAATATATGACTCCCTGAAGCCTCCACCCATAGCCTAAGCCAGGGTCAGCAAACAACAGCCTGAAGGCCAAATCCAGCCTGCTACCCATTTTTGTTCAACCTGTCAGCTAAGAATGTTTTATTTTTTTTGTTTTTTAGTTTTCATTTTTGTTTTTGTTTGAGACAGAATCTCACTCTGTCGGCCAGGCTGGAGTGCAGTGGTGCAATCTTGGCTCACTGCAACCTTCATCTCCCGGGCTCAAGCAATTCTCCTGCCTCAGCCTCCCGAGTAGCTGGGTACAGGCGTGTGCCACTATGCCTGGCTAATTTTTGTATTTTTAGTGGAGATGGGGTTTCACGATTTTAACATTTTTTTTTAATAATTGAAAGAAACCAAAAGGAGAATATTTTGCGGCATGTGAAGCTTATATTAAAATTCAAATTTCAGTATCCATAAAGGTTTACCGGAATATAGTAGCATTTATTCTTTTATCTATACTGCTTTTGCGCAACAGGAGGATTGAGTAGTAGTTACAGGCTGTAAGGCTCACAAAACCCAAAATATTTACTCTTTTGCCTTTTATAGAAAGGATCTGCTGACCCCAGCCTATTCTTTCATTTGCCCTCTAGAGCTATCCTCTCCAATACGGTAGCCTCTAGCCACATGTAGCTTATTAAAGCTTAAACTTTTAATTAATGAAAATTAAATTAAAAATTCAGTTCATAGATACATTTTAGTTGTTCAACAACCCTGTCTATCTAGTAGCTATTACACGGCACAGATATAAAACATCCCCATCACCACAGAAAGTGCTATCAGACAGCACTGCTTTAGAGGCACATAGGATAGTCAAATAGCTCCTCCACAAAGAACCCCTTTAAGTACTGTCAGCTACAGGGACCCCAGCAAATCTTTCTTCTTCAAGCTAAATCTCTCCAACCATTGTTTACACAAACTACCACTAAGTTGCCTCATCATCCTGATTGTCCACCACGGATGTTTCAGGTTGTAAATGTCCATTCTAAAGTGTGACAGTCAGTACTAAACACTAGATTCAAGGTGAGGGTGGCAGGCACGGACAGTAGAGATGTCACTCACCTTCTCTGTTCTATAGTCTATGCTTCTTTTAATGCAGCCTGATGTCATTAGTTTTTTTGTGGCCATATCACTTTCCTGGCTTTATACTGAATTTGCATTACCTAAAAGCCCTAGGTCTTTTTCATGTGCTTCAGTTAAACTCAGTCCACCTCATTCTGCACAAGCATTGTTGGATTTGGAGGCCTAAGAGCAGAAACTAATCTTTATCCTGATTAATTCCTCCCTATTCAATCTGGTCTGCTGGTCTGATCTTTTGAGACATGACCTATCTCCCAACGATTATATAAATCCTAATAAACACAGTATCGTCAATACCCACATCCACATTCACCCTGATATAAATGTAAACCGAGCAGGACCAAGGCCAGAGCTCTGAGCGCACCATTCCTAGCTCCTGTGAGGCTGACATCGGTTTTCCTGGCACCTATTATCTATCCAGTTATAAAGACGGTTCACTGTATTTTGATCCAGTCACTGAAAGCAAGTATCTGGATAGCTGCAGAACTCCACAACTATTAGGGCTCCACATATAGGGCCCCACAAGGAGAATGGGCACCCATGGAGCAAAGGGAGCCAAGCCCCCACATTGTGAACAATCCTCATCCACAGTCTTGCTCTAGGGCCCATGTCCCTGTCTGAGTGCAGGGAGGTGAGTCTAGACTGAATAGAGCAAAGGTAGCTGGAGCTTGAAGCAGGAGAGAGGAGCCAATGGGGATCTGGGGCTGTTCAGCCAGGCTGAGAGCCGGCGACCCCTACCTCGGCCCACCTCAGCGCCTCACCTGCAGGATGGTGCAGAGGAAGGAGGCCTGAAGTGTGGCTTATGCCTTTGAGCTCCATGAGATCAGAGGTCCTTCATGGGTGCTTTCTGATGATGTGATGACAATGCACCCATGAGGACAAAGGCTTTCAGACTCCCTGCCCCCAATATCTATTTGCCAATGTATCTATCCATTCACCTAACATTCAGCCAGCATCCTTTATGTACAGGCAATGGGCTAACCAGTGGAGACACAAAAATCAACAAGATCAGTGCCTGTCTTCACCAAGTTCCTAGTCTGGAGGAGGAGACCCCCATGTAGACATGCCACTGTGCTACAGTGTGATGAGGGCTATCAAGATGATTGTAATAACAGCTCTCATGTACAGCCTGCTCACCATGTCAGCTGCTGGGCTATATGCTGCACATGCCTTTTATCATTTAATCCTTTGACCACCCAAAGGATTAAATGGGACCAATAATAGTACATACCTCACTATTACTGGTCCCATTTCAGAGAAGAAGAAACTGAGGCCCAAAGTAGTTAAGTTACTTGCCCAACATCACTCTTTGGTGCCAGGATCCAAACCAAGGCCTAACACTAAAACCTGAGGGTTACCATTACATTATTCTGTCTCCAGATACCGAGAAAAGTAAACAAGGAGTCAGAAGACAGACAGAAGAATGAACAGCTGTCCCCATGGAACCAAAGCAAAGCTTCCCTGAGGAAGCAGGGGTTAGGCTACCCCGCACTTAGTACTAATTCATAAACAGATTCCCAGTCTCAGCCTCCTGACCTGTCTGAGGATAGAAGCTACGGGCCCTACAGTGTAGTATCATCCTTTGCATGTGGCAGACTTCTGTCTAGAGCTAAGCCTTAGCATCAGCAATGGACTGCAAGTATGATAAGCACAATGATGTAAGGATGGGCAGATGAATGGTCGGCACAGTTTAATTCAGCTGAATGTACAGACCAGCCTCTGCATGTGTCCTACAAGGCTCCATTGCACCCTTCAGCCCAGCAACTGACAGTACAGGTTTAACTGCTGAACTGTAGGTGAACTTTAACTGCTAACCCAAAGATAAGATCATTTCATATCTCACCCCTGTTTTAGAAATCAGTTTTACATTTAATGCAGTAAAATTCACTCTTTTTGGTGAAAAGTTCTGTGAATTTCAACAAATGCAGTTATGCGATCACTTCCAAAATAAAGACACAGAACAGTTCTATCACCCCCAAAATTCCCTCCTGCAACACCCCCCCGCCATGTCTCACCCCTGTCCCCCCGCCCAGCAACCACTAATCTGTTCTCCATCCCTCTAGTTTTGCCTTCTCCAGAAAGTCACATAAATGGAATCATGCAGTATGTAGGCTTCTGAGTCTGCTTTCTTTTGTAAGCATATATAAATACATATGTTTACATATGTTTTAACAGTTTAAGCCACACGTTGCCTACATCAATGGTTTATTCCTTTTTACTGCCGAGTAGTATTTCATCGTATAAACCAACTACGGTTTATTTATCTACCTGTTAAAGGACCTTAGGGTTGTTTCCAGATTTTGACAATTATGAATAAAGCTTCTATAAACATCTACACAAGGGCTTTTATCTAAACATAAGTCTTCGATTTCCTTGGACAAATAAGAAGGGGACTGCTGGTCCATGTGGTAAGTGTCCATTTAATTTCTAAGAAACTGACAAAAC